GTAAACTCTGCTTTTTAACCCAAAAAGGAAGTCCTTCAGGATAATTTCAAGCATAGCTCAAGTATTAAACATTAACTCTATGGTGTTATCTGCTACACTTGTACAGCAGGTGAACATTACTGTAGTCTCTTTGGCTTTATCCTGAGGATTTCAGAACAATTTTCCTAGTAAGACTTCATATTTCTGTGCTCTGAGAAATTACAGAATGCCCAAGGCATTTGATAGGTCCAAACCCTCCTTGCTCATTGGTGTGGAACCAGTGATGGAAATGTGAGTGCTGGCTGCACTTCCACTGGTTGGATGCTATACTAAGAGCCCTTGTTTGTTCTTAGGGACACTACACTCACAGCTCTTTAATTCTTGCTAATGTGGAGGATTTAAGACCCAACAGAGCATCATGACAGGTGGTAGTAAATAATCAAATAATCATCTATTTCAATAAAAGATAGAAATCTCACAAATCAGTTTAAGTAAGATTAATTAATATGACGTTAAACAGATATGGGTTTTTTCCCTAGTAAAGAAAATGCTCATCAAAAATATATTTTCAATCCTTTTTTTTCACTGATTGAAATTCTCTATTCTGAAAAGTAAAAGAAAAAGGTCAAGCAAGGTGTTGTGCATCAGTTTCCTTTTGATGAAAACTTGACTAGTTTTTATTTGAATGCTGTAAAACTTTTTTAATGCTTGCTTTAAATATCTTGCACAAGCATCTAATGGCAAAACTTTTCTTGGTTCATTCTGTACCAATGACAGCACAATGGCATATCCAATATAAATATAAGACATGGTAATGGATCATAGACAAATTAAAAGCTTTGACTCATACAAGCAATCTCTTATATGTCTTTACAGGAATTTTGAATTTATAATAGGCCTTCTTACAACCATTTAGTTCATTAAATATATTCAATAAAAAGTAACAGACGGCTACTAAGAAAATTAACTTGGTCATCAACAGTTGTAACTTGCATTTAGTGATGGGTGAAATTGCTGCTGATAGCTCTAGTGCAGAAGCATGTGGGTTTACTCATACCTCTGTCAAACCTTTTCTGGTCTGACATTGTGGCACAAGCAACTATTACACAACAGATTCAGCTGCAAGGAATTTGACATGACATTGGGAAGCTGCAATCAGACACTGGGGTAGTGTGTTAGGTCTCACAGGGAAATCTTTACTAGAAAGTAGAGTGCTTCACACCGGGGAAGTTTGCAAATCCCCCCCAGGCAGAGGCAGGGAGTGCCAGTGGATACAAGTGGGCGTGGGTAGGCAGGGGCTAAGCCAAATGTCTGGTCAGAAGTGTAAGATTTCCACTGACCTCCTCGGGCATCTGATCCTGAGGTGAAGAGCTACAGCTAAAAAGGGAGTAAGGCTGGAACTCCATTGCAGAAAAAGAAACATAAAGTGACACCCCCACACAACAGGCTTCTGAAGGATGTTCTGCAGGTCTGGGGAATGGTAAACTTTTTTTAGTGTCTATGACTACTTTTTTTGTTGTTTTTATGACCACAGTTGTCTTTACTTAAAAACTTTGGGACTTCTAGTGAAGAAAAGGCCTAGATGTGTATCCAATTGGCATTTAAATCAAGGGTTCTCCTAGACAAATATGAACTGGGAAATATAATGTTCTAACAATAATGGCATCTTCAATTCATCATTGCTTTTTGACCTGTGGTATAAATAAAATTAAATTAATGATGCCATACACAGTCTTTCCTCACATAGAGAAAATCAGAATTTTGTTCATACATAGTAGCTTCTGATCTTTCTGAAATGGTCTGTATTCTTTCTGCGCATCATCAACAGTGCCAAATACTGAACACACCAAACTACTCTCAGTGTTGAATCAGAGCAGGAGGAGCAGTCACCTAAGAAAACTCTCAGCTGGGAACAAACTAGCTTCTTTCAAGTGCAGTCCTGTTGCTGCAGTGATCCTGTAGTACAAGTACCAGGGATAAGCTGCTTACAAATTTTCCATGTCTCTCACAACAGATATTAAAGCATAACAAACAAAGATGATCAAAGAATCTGAGCTGACACCAGAAAATTCCCGTTTTCAGCCTAAAACACAGATTTATCCTTACTTGTCTGCTCATTTGGAAGATGAAGGTGATGCAGGAGATGAAAAAAGCAGTTCTTCACACAACACTGTAGGCAACCTTTTTTCAGGTGTGGTCTCACCAAACTACTGCTAAGAATGTGCTATCCCACATATGCATGCTTCTGGGGATTGACAGGGAAACTGTGGGAATGGTGACTAACTCTTTGTTTTGAAACCAGGTCAAAAGAGGTCAGCGACAATGAGATGTCTAAGGCCAAAGAGTGGTGGGATTTTTTGCAGGAAATTCTTTACATGGCCTCAAGTGTGCTTAAAATGCCATCTGAACACACGGCCCCTTGGACAAACCGGATAAACTGCCATTTTGGTCTCCTCTCAGGCCATGGGACTAAGTGGTAAATGAACAGGAGCATCAGCTCGTGCCAGAAGGAGCTCAGCCTGCAGGGGTCACACAGGAGGCTGCATGGAGCCCTTTAGGCCTGGCAAGGACAGCTCGAGGGGCAGTGATCTGTGGCTGTGTATCTGAGCTGCACCACAGGCGAGCATGCAGACAGACACCGGCACCACACAAGTGGCCACTCAGTACGACTGCAAAGATGAGAACTTCCTCCTTACCTGCCTGAGACAATAGGTAGTTACAAATTTTGCTTTTCAATCCTGAACACACAACAGACTAGACCCACCACAAACTCTTAAAGATCACAGGAAGTAAACATTGTTGCCCATTAGGGCTCAGATACGCTGTACTGTTACTACGCAAAAGATCTCCATGTAAACCAGGTATTTCTGCAATCATAAATTCCATCATTAAAACTAAAAGAAGTCTAATAAAATTAAACACCCAGGTATCTAAATGCTCTGTAACACAGAGCTACCTATGCTCTTCAACAAAGATGTTTAACATATGGATCGACATGTTTTTCCAGACCAAAAGAACAGGAATTTAGGTTAATTTAATAGAAAAAATAAAATATTGAATAACATTGATTTTGGCCAATATCAATTACAACAGAACTACCCTGTTATTTTACAAATAACAACTGAACATTTTACACATGTACAGTATTTTTTTCAGTAAAAATGGATTTCGTTATAACAATGTCAGTTTTTTTAAAGAAAACAAAGTTATTAATTTCTTCTCTATAATAGTGTTAGAGACATTTGTAAGTATCCAGACAGATTCTTTACAATCCATTACATAATTAAATCTCAATAGTGAATATATATTTATATATAACATATATAATATTAACTTAAACTTTGAAAGCATTATGTTCTATTTAAACACGCTATACTGAAAAATGAGGCAGTAACTGACTAGTAGTTAAACTAGCACAAATTTGAATGTTTATCAGGAAATCTGTAATGGGCACCAAAGGAGCTTGACTGCACTCTTTTATACTGAACCTGGCTATAATAGTTTATCTGCTCTCTGCTAAAGAGGACATTACCTCTAAAGGTTTGAATTTCTTTCTTTGTAGAACATCCACAGTCATTTTTGATCCCCTTTATTTTCCAGGATTTACATGCTTAAACAGCTGAAATCCATTTCCTTTTTTTATGTCCTGGAAAGCAAACTGAGAAAGACACTTTGCATGTTTTAAGTATTATCCCCAGTAAACAGTATCTTTGAAGTTCAATTTTCTGTTTTCTGTGAAATGACTGTCTTTTGAACAGTATGCTGGGTGAAGCTGAAGAAGACAAATTAAACAGAAATTCATACTGGCAGCCATGTGCCTGAGTAGAAAAAGAGCGAGGCTGGGGCCACTTCTCTTATCACTCAGGACCATTTTACAGTGAGGTAACTCCATTGGCCTTAGCAGGACTATTCCTGCTGAAATTTCTATTGTGAGCAGTTAAAAGCAGATTCAGGCCCATCACGGCACCAAGAGAACCACCGATTTATTGCCCTATATGCATTTTTTCCTGGAGGTGTATTTGGCACAATTATAAATCCAGTCCTGTAAACACATCCTGTCGTATATAGTCACACTGGCATTTACATATGGGCACTATGAAATAGTTCCACATATCTGTATGATAATATCCCCTTTTTAAATGAACATTACAAGACAACAATAATTTATGAATACTTCTTACATGTTAGCAATGTTTTCTGACTTCTGAGCATATACATTACTCTCACTTATGCAAATCAAAATAAGTAGTATATTCTAAATTTGTCCACTACAGGAACAATGGGTTTCTTATGTTTATTTGAAATAGCTTTGACAATTTAAAAAAATAAAATAAAAATCCTAGCATATCTGTTAATAAGCCACCTGTCTAAAAATGAAATCTATATGACCAAAACCACATTTTGGGCAAACATATATACATATCGCATGTGATACAAAAAATAGCATACAGCAGAGGAAGTAAGAAAGAAATGTGTGCAGAGATGTTCACTTTCCATTTTTTAAAATAGTGTTACAAAAGGGGCAGAACTTAGTCCTGCACTAATGATGTTTCTGATCCCCTCAGGAACTCAAGTTCCCCCTGTCAATACATACAGCACAAAAAAAAGACTAATGCAATCTTTTTTGTATTGTTTAGTTTTAATCCATGTAAACTTGTGTTGTATTCTTGAAACACTCTTTAAACATCTTGAAGTGGAAAGAAGCAGGAAAGAAGGGAAGAAAAAGAACCTTCAAAAAACAGGAATAATCCTAAGGTTGACAGGAAATCAAATCAAGAGTTAAATGTTAATTTTGGCATCAAATGCTTTGGTCACACAATACTGACTCTGTGATCCTGGATGCTCAGCTCTAGACACCCAGTTATGAAAGGTAGGCGTGTTGTAGTTTTTCCATTTAAGTGTCCCAACAAACAGTTTACCATCTCCCCAGACAAAGAGAGGGGAGAGGGAGAAAGGTGGCTTGCTTTCTTTTTTTTTTTTTTTTTTTTTTTTTTTTTTTTTTTTTTTTTTTTTTTTTTTTTTCCTTTTTCAGTAATATGGATTAATCTGTAAGTCTACAGGAGGAGGAGGATGCTGGGAGGTGTCAGTTCACCCCTTTTGTTTACATGTTCTGCAACACAATTGCTGAAGCACTTTCCTCTGGCAGAGATTGTTCTTTTTCACCAGCATACAGAATCCTCCCTCGGCCCAGGACTCTTCCGTGGCTTCCAGAGGGTAGCAGCAAGAGAAGGAGGGGAGGTTGAAGGTTTGGAGAGCACGACGTGTACAATGGAGGAAGGTTTAATTGGTCAGACATGCAGATTTGGTTGAAGAGACCATTCAGGAGCAGGTAGCAAGTAGGAAATTTGGTCCATCAAAAGGAATTTCAGTCAACAGCATTTTTTTAATTTTTTTTTTTCAGGAAGAGATATTGTGTGGTCCAACAGGGAATGATTGGTATCCATTTATGAAAAGGAAAAAAAGATTAGAAAGAGAATAATTAGAATACAGTGATATTTACAGCAAAGGAATTTGCTCTCAATTTTTATGAATTAAAAGAATAAAACAATCAAACCACAGAAAAAGAGTAAAACATTCTCAACAGAAATGCAAATCCTGTAGAATGAGTTCATTGTAAGGCATTGAAATGAGACCCTCTGTGCTTTTGTAAATTAACAGAAAAGAAGCCCCAAAACCCTCCAGAACTTTAATTGTTATTTCAGACTGCTGAGAACACAGGCCATGTGGTGTGACCCAGCATGGTGCATTGCAACTGCCTGAAGGCCTGCACATCCATGTGCTCCCTTTCCATGAGAGCTGCATTTGGAAGAATGGTGGTGACAGTACTGAGATGGGGTGTCCTCACCCTCGGGAACTACAGCGTATGTGATTGAGGCTGCACAGGTACAAATGAAGATGGATTTATCCAGCCGCATTAAAGACCAAACTGGCATCTCAAATGTTTGCATTGCAGAAATCAATTGCTATACCATATTAACATTACACTTCTCAATTTGTCTATTTATATATGTCGTCTTCTGGACTTTCTTTAGACAATAACTCTTCCAATGTCCAGACATGAAACTGGCTCGTGACGAGTTTACCAATATCTGCAATGTAACTTTACAATAAACAGGATACTTTCCTAAGTTTGGAAGCCTGTATTCCAACAGGAAGTACAAAGGTCCACAGAAACAAGACTTGCACCTGTGCTCTTTCTTTTTTAAGTCTTATTTTACTCTTAGTAAATCCAGTGGAAATAAGCTAGACCCAGGAGTCACTGTTAGCTTTTAGTATATCTGATGTCGGGTATCTTCCTAGATACGATCTTCCTGTTGGATTGCACTTGTTGGGCTCTATTTACAAGTAATTAATGTGGTAACATTTTAGGGAAGCACAATGTTATCTAAGCCTCCCTTTAATTGTGATATTTAAAAAGGATATAATATTAGTGCATAATTAAGCCAATTATATTCAATAAGGCGACTATCTTGGTTGCCACAGAGAATTTGGAGGAAGTTCAAATCTCCACCCTAAACTGCATGTTCCCTGTTTCAGAATCCCTTTTTTCTCACTACCCTTTCACACAAGTCAAACAATCCTGCAGGTGCTTTAAATTGTTTTTACTTACCGGCATTTTCACCATTTAAAGTGGTGAGACAGACAACTGTAATTCTATTAATAGTACTCTAAAGTCTTCATATAAAAATCTGTTGGAAGCAATGGCTTTTGAACAAATGCTAAGGAAGGAAAAGTAGGTTGTTGGCAAGGGGGAGGATTATTTTAGGAAAATTCAGGTAAAGTGGATGTGACTAATCTTGCTAACACATGCAAATGTTAATTTCTCCTTTTCATACACCTGAAAAAATTCTTACTTAAGAAGAAAAGCAGGCCAAACCAACCCAATACAAGTAAAAGAAGAAGGTGGCAGTGATAAAATAGATCTTTTCAGAGACTTGCACTCACCATCCTTGCATACTGTTCCAATGACACAGACACCAGTGTCTAGGTTATAGCCACTTGGACAGCTCGTACAGTTTCTGTCTCCTTGGCCACTGCAATCCAAACAGCTGGCATCACATCTGAAAGACAATGGCAGGAGTTGGTCTTCCAGTCTCACCAAATATAAGACTTCCTAGGAGATCTCTTTTGTATTGCAAAGGACTTGTTCTTTCTAGAGGTACAAGGTACTATAATATTACTAATTATGATAGTAAATAATTGACTACCCCTGCAACTTCTTTCCTATGGAGACCCAAAGGCCAGTGACTAAGATCCTCATCCTTTGACCCTGGAAAGGAGATAGTAAGTAATACCTCTTGAGGCTGGGGTGAGAGAAGCTTTTCTCCCACAGGTCTTTGCTGTTGAATATTAGTCTTTTTGGGTTCAGGTGTTCTATTTGTTTCCCAAGTTTATGTCACCCTGTTCAGCACCCATTTACCTTTTATGTATTCCTTCCAGAATGTTCTCCATTCCTTGGACCCTCATTGGCCCTATTTTGGTGCATTGCTCTGCCCTGTAAATCCCCATTGGTTGCCCCTGTCCCTAACCCCTCCTATGCACCACTTTTACCTGTTCCCATTGGATCCTAGCCCTCTGAACCACCCCCTCTTACCTCACATATAATCCTGGACCCTCAGCCTATCCTTGTTCTTGTCCCTGGACCCTCTTCCAGGCAAGAAAGCTTTTGGATACCCAAACAAGAACCCATGTCCATGACATCCTTCCTTGTTAGCTTTCTAGGGGCACCTTGCCCCAGACCCGAACGTGCAGGCAGCCTTAGGGACCTGGTCATAGTGTGGTGCTACACTTTCCATCAACAAATTTCTGTTACAGAGTTTTTGCTACACAGCTGCCTTATTCTGGTGCATTGGAACTATGCATAAATAATCAGCAAAAGTATCAAGCTGATGCTGCATACATGTGCCAGAAAGGCATGAACTGAAGCTACAGCATAGAAATGACTGATGTGATGCCCAGTACCTTCATCACCCATTTTGCTCCACTGTCTTTTCATTACGTACGGATTGTCTTTTAATGTGGAATATATTGAAACACATGGTGATTACCTTCCTGCCCTGAACTTAGATCTGAGTCAATAATAAATTATTCCAAAGAGCAAAAAATGTTATTTAACAATGTATGGAGTAGAAAAAAATCTTCCTTCCTGCATAGCACAACTTTGTCCAAGATTTATCCAGCCATTTGTGCACTTGAGTCAGGTAAGCTATTCTGGACAGTAGTTTAGAATATACCTGTGATAAGTTTGTGAATATGCAGTGCAAGAACTGAAATGGTCTTTATAAATAATAATTAACTTGTAATGAAAAAAACCCACAATTTGATTATTTTTGTTTGCTAGTAAGAAATGCAGATCCTCTGTCAGATTTGTAAATTTTACACTTCTGTGCAAATCTGCTTTACACCCTTACTACAGGCTGTTTTAACGTGAAGGTCACACACATATACCAGAAAAAATACCTGTATGAATATAAATATAATAATAATAATAATAATCACAACAATAATATTTTCCTTCATTTAGTTAGCATTAAGTCATTTTTGGATGTTTTGAAGTCAATAGCATTTTATCTTCTAATAAGTATGATCATTTCCAATACAGTAATAGCTAATATACTGCCAAATATCAGATATATCAGCCACTGAGCTTACCTTTTGCAGGTTTTGTATCCACTTTCAGTGGCGTGATCAAGGTAATAACCACTACTACAGGACTGCACGCATCTTCCATCTTCCATAAAGTAACCCTGTGTGCAGTTTATACAGGCATCTACTCCAGCACCTTAGTCCAAAGAGAAATTGTCAGAGATAGGTACATTGTTAAAATAAACAATTACATCATTTCAGTCTAACTTTTTCTGGAATAAATGATTGCAGTTCTAAAGCTCCCATGAAATCTACTAGTCATTATTCCATCCCTGGAAGAAAGTAGAAAGCATTACTGGAAATCATAATAAGTTCTACTAAAATTAAAATAGAAAAAAAAAAAGGAAAGACATATAAACTTTCAATTAAAATCCTAGATTTCTACACTAGCTGAAAGGAGTTTGCCATATTTAAAATGTAATTAAAGACTACTAAGAGAATGAAAGATTCACATGTAAACAATCATGTTATACTGTTACTGTGATATAGTGGAATAAAATCAGAGGTGAAATCATGCAGGAATTAAAATTATCCCGACAAATGTCAGTGTGGTACCTGCACACGTTGCACAGGAACGGTGGCAAGGTTCACACTCTCTGCCATTATGGTATTTTCCCTCTTCACAGCGGATAGCACATCTGGTGCCATGCAAACTATGGTAAAAAGGAAAAAAAAGCACAGGGCAGATAATGGCAACAGAGGAGAACAAGATCATGCACAATCCAGTAATTCTCTTTCAATGAAAGTACAACCCATATATTACAATTCATCAGCTTCCTTCACTGGTCATATTTCATAAGTTTAGATACACCAATCACTTAAAGAGGGAATGCAAAACAGTTTTGCCTGTGGTGAAGTAAAGAAGCTTTTACAAATTCTTTGTAAGTACTACCAAGTAATAGGGGACAGACAAAAAATTAGCAATGACAAGCAGCACTAGAAATTCAGGCATGTAAAATGCAATTATCCACGAGGAATTTGGCACAGGGTCAGCACTAAAAAAAATACTAAGGGACTTGTTAACTGAATGTCAGTTCTGTGTGGCTTGTGAGATTTGTTGAGATTACAGATGGAGGTATTCTGCCTGCAGGCACTTTTGTGAGAGCAGAAAAATGTGAGTAACCATGGAAAATAAATAGCATAAAGAGTCACATTTTCATATATTCCTTGAAGTGGCTGTTTATTGCTTTAATGTATTATGGTGCCTATAGCAGTTCGTTGTGGTTTGGGTTTGGTTTGTTTGCTTGGAATTAATTTTTTTAACCTAGGACTTCTCTGCCATGTTTACCATCTTCTGCAGAACCTCAGGATTCATCCAATTTAATACTTTCTCTAAAAATGCTCATCAGCTCTGGGGTTTCCCACTCTGAGTGCTAACCATGTTTTTACAGATTGGATAAGCAACAGCCAGCTAAGTTCAGCACCACTGAAAATTTTCAAGAGTGTATTCAGTCCTAGTTTAGAAAATAAACTAGCAATTCAACAAAACTTTACAATCCCTGCTTTTTCTCCTGCTTTTTGTCAGTGACACACTTCAAAGAGCTTTACAATAGCATTATCATGTTTTTACAGATGGGAAAATAATTTGTCCAAGTTTATTTAATGGGCCAATAATGGAGCAGATCTGGAATCCAGGTCTCTCAAGACCCACTCAAGGAATGTCCTGCTCATTGATACCTCTTCCAAGAAAATCCAGAAAGTATGGAACAACTATGGAATATGAATTTCATGTCCCATCCCAAAAGGCTCCATTTATCTGATATAACCACACATATTTTTAAAAATGTTACCAAAAATGATTCTCCATTTTCTAAAACTGCCCAAGAAAACATGATGGTTAGGTTTTTTAAAAAAATTTAATATTTCAATTTCAATAGGGGAATCCAGCTGTTGATGTTCTAGAAGCAAACATTCAGCTTTTACTAGGAGATTAAAATCCACTTTAATGGAACACAAAACCTCAGTGTTAAAACATTAACACAATACTTGTATTCAAAAGAATACCTACAGATACTGAATACTGACTTCATACTTTTTTGTGGCACTAAGCCAAGCATACAGTCTGTCATGAATATTATAAGATTTTTTACCTTTGCTATTTTAGTATCAAAAGGAGCTTGAAATATGTACTGCTGCTTTTTATCTTTTACCTATCATTTTCAAGAATAATTAAGTTCCCCACTGAAGGAAAAATATCCCCTGCTGTTTAAAATATATGATCACTATGCTGTAATAGAATTGAGCCTCATGTACTTGAGGTAACTGAATGACTGGATACCTGAAGAAATACAATAAAGATAAGAAAACAATTTCTAACTATGAAATGGATGAATCAGAAAGATTAATACCATTCATTAGCTCTACTTCTAAAACAATCCTTGACTGACATACTGTAGGTCAAAAATTGATGAAGCCAGCTTTCCACATGACTTTTATGTTACCAGAAATGAAAGGCCTTCTAAAAATCTGTTGTCAGCCAAATTGGCATGTGGGATCAATATTACAGACTAAACAGAATTGGAACAGATGAAATGAGGGCTGGGCAAGGTTAAATAGATATCTGATGTTCTTCATTGTGTATCTACAGCCCTGTCTACCTCTTCAGATACTGTGTTTATAGATATACATAATTTCCTTACCTTAGGCCATGTCTGCATTCTGTGCAGATTTGGAATTCAACACAGGTCTTGCAGTTTTCACTACATTTTCGACAAATAATCTTATCTACAAGAGAAAAAAAAATCATCCCAGAAAACCTTCTTCAGTTTTGTTTGATAAAATTGTATGAATATATTATTACATGACTTACTGCCTTCTAGTTTGACATCAACATCAACATCAAGCTAGACTACAGCAGCACAATTCTGTCTATCATTAGCTTTTTCCATCAAATATAAAATGGTTTACAATATTTTCATTTGAAGTTGTAGTTGCACCCTGAGAAAAATATGTTTTGAGGCCATTAAGAAATTTTCATAAACACTTAAAATTTACATTCATTATTTGTAACATGGACTTAAGTCACCTTCTCATATAGCAGTGACATGCACTAATGATTGCCATGTGTTCTGGAGACTGTCCTGCAATCTTACCCTTTCCATGCAAGCAGTCTGTCCTGTCTTCCTGATTGGGTGCTAAAAGACACACCTGCATGAACAGATCTGATCTTGACAAAGTAAATACATAAATTACTTAACAATTGTCTTTTTGTCTCTAGAGATCCCTTCTTTAAGAAATGTCTCTCTCTCTCTTCAGCCCTACTGTCCTTTGACATGCAGGGACACATACCCTTCCAAGAAGAAAAACTTAATTTCCCTATTTAATCCTAAATTTTCATCTATCCATCTTAATTTGTATGGAAAAAAGTTCTCTTTACTGTAGTTCTCACACAGTGAAAGTGGAAGAATTAAGGTAGGACCTGTTTTTACTGATTCTCAAAATCAAACACACAGTTTCATGCTGGAGAAAGCAGAAGATCAGGTACCTAGATGAACAATGCTCCTGAGAACATATTTATCTTCTACAGAGTGCCTAAAGATAACAAAAGTCACTGGAGTTTTCAGCAAGTTTGAATATATGTCGAAGTATTTTTGTTAGCCAAAGCTGGAAATTAAACATGGACAGTCTACTTGGCAATCACAGGAGGAAGCTGAAGGCAAGTACCTATCATGGCTGAGGATTACTGCTCTTGGGCAGTCATGTCACTCTGGAGGTGCATATGTCTTCCAGAAACATTATTTGCAACCATGTTACATCTGAAGAGCCTGTTTTTCCTTGAGCTCTGCTTCACTGGCCATGGCCAGTGTCTCAGCTTTCACTTCTGGTGTCATATAATCTAGCTGGATAGGGAATCTTGGTCACAAGGGGTGCTGTCTGTCCCTTTCCCAAATAGTGATAATCTTTTCTGTCCTTCAGCTGACTTGCTCTTGAACTGCCCTGCTTCTGCTACTGTTACTCCCAGGTACCCCCAGCTGAAAAGACATCTTGCAATAAATATGGTTTTTAAAATTAAGGAAGATTATTCAGGACATTCTTGATCACACTTGGCAACAATTTAATAAAAAGAATAGGATAAGAGATCAACATACACTTTTCCTGCTCATAGGCATTCCAGCAACCTCCCCAGATCAAATTCTGTAGCCCGCAATACAAAACCAACAAGAAATACTAACTCTTATCCAGGTAAAACCCATCAGGGCAGTTGGTAATACAGCTATTGGTTACTTCATTCAGGTAGTAGCCAGATTTACAGGTCATGCACTGGTCATTATGGCCTCCAACACAGGTTTCACAATTGGGTGAGCATTTTTTACATCGTTTCTTGTCTGCATTGTAGTGACCAGGTGGGCAGGTCGAAACACAGATCCTGCAGACAGCAGGGAAGAGAAGGCAGAATTGTTAATGAAATCACCTGCCACCACACTCCTGGACCAGGACTGCAAAGCAGAAGTATTTCTCAGCATTGTTGCTTTTCCGATCATCATGTGTTTACTAACATAACCCTTCAAAGCACTGCATCAAGCTGTCTTGCATTTATGTCCCTATACATGCTATCTTACTAGCAAATGTGTTGTCAGACAGTCTACAGTATAATTTTGACCATCTACATTTCTTCCTATCTTGTTCATTAAATCACATCAGCTGTAGTAGCTACGGGAATCTATAAATACACATATATATAGACAGAGAGAAAGCTTCTTATGGAAAAAAATAAACAGTGGGGATATAATCAGAGAAGGGTTTTTTTAAGCTGTATGTTAAATTCTGATTAGGTAGGGTTTTTTTAACGCCAAAGAAAATTTTTAAAAATCAGGGGAAAATGAATTATCCATGACTGCAATGAAGAGAAGAGGAAAGAAATTTAAGATATATACTAAGAAATCAATGAAGTTAAGTTTTTATCTCTTTCTCTTACCTTGTGTTGTTTTTAGATTTGTAGTAATAGTGCAGACAGTCAGTACAATGATCTGGTCCTGGCCCATCACACCCTACTTTACTGCATTCTGCATTGCAGGGACCTGTAATATTAAAAGAGTACAGAGGGACAAAGGGATTAAAACTTCTCATTTAAGGACACCATAAAACACAGTATTTTATTGCAGAATGCAATTACTGTTTCCCTGTGTTGAGGACTATACCTAGCACAGGTAGCTCGGTTTGCTACCTGCACTGTGAGCTTAAAATTGAGCTCTGGGTGGCAGAAGCTTCAAGAAAGAGGCTGTGCAGACCCTTTGGAAAGGACATGGGGACCCATGTCACCAGCCAGGTGACCAGACACCTAGAGACACAGCAAGAGCCAAAGACCCTGACACTTTCATGCACTTAAACTCTGAGGGTATAAAAGCCCAAGGTTTCCCTTGTTCAGGGTCCCTCCTCAGAGGCACTCAGCTCAAGCTGTTATTTTTTTATGTGGTTATTGCACCAAGATCGAGTTATTCTAAGGATTGGGAAGTCTGAGACTCTGCTATGGGAAAACTAGGGTTGAGCTAGTGAGGAAATCTGGTCTGATTATGTGAGCGTGGGGTGTATAGCTGTGAAGGGCCTTGGTCCTAGCTCATGTGTTGAGAGTATGACTGCTAGAGCGGCTCCTGGATGGTTGGACAGGTTTCCTGAATACCTGCTTGACTTGAATTAAAAATTCAGAAAAAAGGCAGGCTTTTTTAACAAGTATGGCATCCTTATTTTATATGTAAATGTGCAAAAATTTCTGTAATTCATAATTAGGAATGATTAGTAAAATAACTTATAAAAAGAAGGACAACATAAATGACGAGTATCATGATCAGTGGCTACTCTGGTTCCCGAGTGGGTATCAAGTGGTTCAAGTGGCTGCCATGACCCAGCACACACCAGGGCCAGAGATGCTCTCTGCTGCTACATGCTACAAAAGCCTCAGCTAGTACATGCTGATTCCAAATCTTCCATCTCACCTGCACTCATATCAGGCTTAATAATGCTTGTGGATCTGTTCCGACTTAGGATAGTCTATGATTTTTTTCTTACAGTTTTCAAATAGATCCTTTCTGCTCTGGGAGGAGAGAACCATCAAGTCTTGCCTTTATGCAGGTGAACAATGACTGTGGGTGAAATTACAACTTTCAGGATCACTGCTCTCTCCTGAATGAATGCATTGAGTTTGTTTCACATAAAATCTTAAGAAGTTTGTGACCTTTACAGTAGAAATAGTAGTGTTTCATTACCTACCAAAACAAGGAGTTCCACAGCTGTCCATCTAAAATAGAGACTGTGCAACTGACATGCTATGAAAGGAGAATGGAATAACAGAAAATACTAAATTGAACTTTGTCCTCCTTTTCACTGGCCAGAGATACACTTCAGATTCATCACATGGTACTGGTAATGATGGGTTACATGTAAGAAAGTGCCAACTTGACTTCTATTACAGTACTAAAAATCTAACTCTAATAAAGTCTAATGACAAGGTTTAAAAACATCTACAGGGATCAGTGAGAAACAACACAGATATAGAAGATAATGTGATTCTCATATATATGCATAAGTATATGTAGCTTTACATACTTACATGCAAAACAGTGCATTTCTTCATAGCATGTTAAGTGTAGCTTAAAAATATATAACTCTGTGCATGCAAACTCAAAAACCTAACTTTCAACTATGAAACAAAAACTTTCTCATCTTTGGTGAAGAATCCAATTCACTGAACATTTTACATATGTAAGTATGTAAGGATTCTCAGGTAATCCTTAAAGCCGTTAGGGGTTTAGTAGATGCACAAACAGAGTAAATGAACGTACACACCTGAATAGTCATCTGTTGTATAATCTTCTGTAGGGTCTTCAGCTGGACTAGAGCGCACTCTTTCCACTTTGGAAAAATCATTTCTTGGTGAGTAAGGCTGGATGGATGTTCCATACAGTACTAAGGACCACTCTTTCAACTTGCCTGGAAGTTAAGTATTATAAAACTGCTTTCAGAATTGCTTCTCTGTGTCTTACAAAAGCATGTCACTTTTAAGCATGTTCTTATGAGCAGGTATGGAAGACACTGCTTTTCAAGTAAGTGCAATAGTTGTTTTACTATAAGCTGAGAAAGCATATTTTCTTCAATCAAATCTTTAAACTGTATTTTTATTGCACTCCAATCTCTTGTAGGTCTAGCAAAGGTTTGCACGATGAGGGCTGAACTCAATATAAACAATAAAAACATCTGGGCATACAGTTATTTGGAATATGTATATGGTGCTGCATAAGGTGGCTTTGCTTTCCCCTCAGAACACTATTAATTGTCCAGTAATTATTATTTGAGATCTTTTAGCTAAGTAACAGTATTCAGAATTCTGCCTTAAGAAAGGGATTACATTAGAATACCCTCCATTGACTTTTAGGACACAACTTGATGAACAAGAAACACCTTCTCTTAAAATCTCCATGGAAGAACATCAGTGCCCCCTCAAACCAGCATAATTTCTAGTTTATTTGTGTCAGTTATTTGGCAGATATATCACTGTACTGTCTGCAATCATCACTGGCATTTTATCCTCTTAATATTTAAGTGAAGACAGAAAAAATTGTCTGGTGACCTGATGCATTATCTGACTTTCTGCTATGTTTTTTGGGGGGAAGAACAAAGAGATTAAGGTGTATCAAGTCATCAGTTCATGATGTCAAAACATAAAGGGTGAACTTTCAGTCCCCACCTTCCTCTCTGTAGTACCAGGTGAATAAATTTGGAGAAAGAGCAAAAGCACTCAGGCCTGAAATAGTGCCTAAAGTAAAGACACATAAAAACCACATCCCTGCTTGAAAAGGTGCAACCTAAGTTTGGTATCAGCCCATTGTCTTGGTTATGTTAACCTGTGCTGGAATAGCTGGATGTAAATGTCAAATTTTCATTAGAACAAAGAGAAATCAGAGAAGCAGGGAAAATTTGAATGATCATGTTTTGGAGGTTGTTCAGTGGTTAAAACTCTTCTAGCAGTATACATGTATAACAGTATTCATCAACAATAAGCAAAAACACTACCTGACAGATCATAACCAAATTCTTTTAAATAGTTTATACTAGAGCTGAATATGTGAATCTCTGTTATCTCTATGTCTCTTGTCAATCCAATTAACCTTTCTGAGACAAAAGTTTCTACATTTCATATGAAAGCTTCTCCTTCTCTGTAATCAGTTTTTGAGTAGAAACTACAAACCAGAGACTGTATCATGGCAGTTGTGTCACACAATAGCTTTCAAATTTTCACATATGAATTATTACTTTCTTTGAAGAGACATTTGATCTTGATTTAAAAAATTAACTGCTGATGAATCTACCACACTTGCTACCAAAGTATCAGCTAATTACCTTGACAGTAAAACTGGATACTCCTTGTTTTCAATTTGTCTTTTCCTACCCATAGACATGTAACTCCCAAAGACCCATCGATTAAAAAAGATTAAGGATTAAAAGACCCAAATAATGTATTTTCTTCCTCTAAAGACATGTGGGAATCACATTACATCTTGATGTTCCTTAGACTGATCCAACTGTATCCTTAATGGCACTTTTCTTTTTAAAAAAGAAGTCACACAGGGAGGTAATTTTTAACTAGATATGCAGGCATCTCTATAGCCCTATAAAATATACAGCTTCTTCATGTCCAGTCCATGCCTTTTTTTGTGTTTTAAACCACTTCTACAGCATAGAAACCATAATACATTGGGTGCAATTTTAAAAAATTGTGTTTTGATAAGTTATTCAGATCTTTTTATTCACTATGAGCCAAAATTCATTTAACTTCTTAAATTCTTCTGTTTCTCCCAGAACACTGATAAAAGTATTTGCAAGAACCTACTACAAAAACCACAGATAAAGATGCTCCTAAGGCATAGCATATTGTGTTTGCATTTTACAGATACAGAAGATCTTGTACTAACAGTGCAGGAAGGACTGTTACTCTGAATGCATTTATAACGCAAAAGGACAGCAAGGGGAATAATGTAGGGTCTCTCAGGAGATTAGCTGCCTTTTAAGAATGGTTCAGTAAATAAGGAGGAGAAAAATTCATGTAACTTTCCAGCAAATAAACGTAGACTGCCTCAAGGCAGGTTTAATTTGCACAATGAAAATATTTCAATAACTAAGTATATATACATACACACACACTTTTATAATGAATAAACAAAGTATGCACATTTAAGCCAAAATCTTTCTTCCCCATTTTTGGTTGATTCCATCATTTAGTCTGGCTAGAATAATCCTTTCCCTGCTTGTATTTCGGATGTGTAACAAAGGTTTCATGTTGTATCTATAGAAGAAAGGGTATATCACAATGTTTCAGAGGAAACATATATCCACCTCCATAAACTCTACGGAATTAAATCTAGAAATCACATGCACTACTTTTATGAACTTGACTCTTCATTTCTTTTCAGGTAACAGATGTGGCATTACCTTGCCAGTGCAGGGGTATGATGACACGTTGGGTCTTTCTTTTAAATTTGATTACAGAAAAATGGCAATTCTCAATTAAAAGACCTTTCAAGAGCTGAGCAAACACATGCATAGAACACAAACAAGAAACAGGCATGATGATGATATCAGTGTGATAAACTGCAAGCTATGGTGATAAACTGGAGGGGCACCATGAACTGGAGAGGCACCAGGCATAAATTATGTTTAAGCACCTTTTGTTTACTTCATGTTCTCTTCAGTGCAGAGACTAATCCCGATATGCACAAACAGCTGAATTTATCCACCACTAATATATGGCAGGCACTTCCAAATCTTTTTGAACAGAAGAGTTACTGGACAGCTTTCATCAGAGGGCAACCACTGCTCTAGAAAGATGGGGGATACATTACTAGACAGTATACAATGAACCAGGATCCAAATTCACAACCACACTGCATCTTGTGAAAACCAAATGCACATAAAAACCAAACTAGTCTCAAGCAGTGTTTCACATTGTGGTTAAAACAAAGTAGAGGATAAGCTCTCCAGCAGGATTCTTTCAGTAGATCAGCTTCCTCCACACCCCTTAGTTTTGCAGACCTACTTTCTCTCAATCTCCTAGCCTTACTGTGCCTTTTCTTCCAGAGCTGCATCTTTAGGCCTTAGTTGTGATGGAGGAAAGGAAATCAGTTCCATTAAATTAGCTACTGTAGTGTTGAGAGAGTATAAATAATGTACTGAAATCAATAAACCTATACAACTATATGTGTAGTAGTAGTGTGCAGGAGTGTGCAGGAACAGGCCTTGAAGCGTAAAGCTGGAAATGTAGCATGCCAGTGTGAGACTGTCCTGAAGATGTAAAAGGCTTGTACAATATAGCTGCAGAATTGCCCAGATCAAAAGTTTGCAAAATGGCTCCATGCTATCTCTTTTTTAGTGCAAGATGTGTGTCAGGGAAGAGGGAGATCTGTTGCTCTGTGCTTGTCCTTCATGCCTGTTGGATGAACCAATGGGTTCCACTACACACAAAGGTGAAGAGCTACCCTAAGCTATCCTTCGCACCAGAGATGTTCCTGGATGTGTCAGGAATAACTAGTATAAAATGGAGTTGAAAATACTTGATTTTTGTCTCTTTTCAGTAATCTGATTGAATTATTTATTTGCTGCTTAATACCTTCTGTCTATCAAATTCTAAAGCACTGAAAATTAAAAAAAAAACCCAAACACAAAACCTCCTCTTGAATCCCTGACCAATTTTAGTTATACTCAATGGCTGCTTTTCCAAACATTTAGTGAGTACCCCTTTTTAGTGTACTGGAAATTTTGCTTTTCATTTAGTGGTGCATTTAACACTGGGTAAGAACCTTTAATGACTGGAAAACTATGGTGAGAAGTGATCAGTAGTGATAAAGTGAAATTTAAAACACTGGCAGTGTTGGTGTTTCCTTTTAGAGCTCTAGGGGAAGATGATCAAGATTTTCAAAATGCGGTGCTTAAAGTTAACCACATGACTATACAGTTAACATTTATATAACAGTGTAAAAGGTTACCAGTGTCTAGCAGATGCTTTCTGCTCAGTAATTTTGAAAATCATACTTTATCTTAGTCTTCATTAAGGACTTACCAACCACATATTGTATAAAAGCTTTTCAAATTTTGGCTTATGATTGCTGGTTTACTATCCTAAAAAACTATTATCAGGAGGAGAAATCATGTCAACTAGTGAGTCAGGCAACAAGACAGTAGATTTGATGGCTAGAAAAAGAATATTTTTTTTGAAAGTTGAGACTGGCTATCAGAACACAGCTAAAGTAGAGCAGAAATAAAGAATTAAAATTCTCATTCAATTCTATCAACAGTGATTGAGGCTGATCTGTACGTTACATTTTTTTGAGAGAAAATCATCTAAAAAACCCACAGAAAAAAGTTCCAAATAAAAGTGAAACATGTATCTTAAAAGATAAATAACAGTAGCATAAAAATGAAGGGTGCATTGAAAACTTAAATTTAGAATAATGATCTTTCCAGCTATGGCTTCACACTAAAACTAGCAAGATGTTCCAGCTGTAACTAAAAGGTGGAAAACCGCAAGCACTTTTCACACATCAAGAATTCACACAGCCCAAACAAATGTTAGAGTCCTACCTGGAGTCTTGAAATTTCTCAGCTGAGATGGAGTGTCACAGATTTCCAAGATCCAATCCCCTGCTGCTTTTTCACTCCAGCAATGAGTAGTCATAAACTCCCAGTTTTTGAATCCTTCCATGGAATGATCAAATAGCCTAAAACAAATGATGACATTATTTCAAGGCAAAGTCTTTTCTCCCTGGGGAGCTATGCCTCCAAGAGTGCAAACTCTTGAATAATATACTAATCAGCTAGTTTGTTCTTCTGTACCTTCACATAACATTATTCACTATGGTTTTCTCACATGTATTTCAAGCAAATTCAACAGTTATTTGTAGTTTGATGGAAGAGAGTCTTTACATGCCTTTATAATGAAAAAGAGAATGGTAAGCAAATTCATTGCAAAAATACCATAATTGCTTATACTATTTAATAGGATTTGTGGGTCTTGGAAAATCTTTGTATAATACAGAATTCCATTGCTTTAACAGCATGACATAAATATAAGTAACTTGTAAGTTGGAAAATTTCAGTACCATTTGTTTTTTGCTTTGGATTAGAATAGTTAAAAGGGGTTTAAACCCAATAGAAACAAGTTTAAGACAAGTGATTCAATACATCACTTCTTGTAGGAAGTAGTATGTAACTGAGACATTGGCCTCAATCCTTGAACAACCAAGGTATCACCCCTTCAAACACATCACAGAATTCAGCTGGGGTAAAACTGAGAAACTAATGGCATCTGATGGTTTCACCTAACCAATACTGTTACCATAATTTAATTACTTAGGTAGTGGGTGAAGACATTAGAACTTAGGCCTGGATTATGATAATTTCTTATTATTATATTTATATTTTATATATTATATTTATTATATTTTCTATATAGTAATTTCTATTTCAGATACTGCAATGTGATTGTGATCCCCTGTGAGAAAGGGAAGGAGGATCCTTCCTGTCAGAAGATTAGGAGATTAGATGCAAGAGAATTTGCACTTTTATTTAGTTTTCATAGTGTGTTGCTTGGTACCCAAAAATTATTGATGAGAATAGCACTCTAAGTAGGATTATTGCCTCCAATAACTTGAAAAAATACATATATAACTATATATTCACATGTATATATATTTTTATATATTTATGTATATATACACACAGAGATAAGTATGCATGTCAATTTATACATGCATTATCAGTGGAGTGAAAACTCCACTAATAATTGCTGTGACTAAAGAATTTGAAAAGACAAGAATCTCTACAGTATAAAACCCAATAGATTGAAAATGCTTTTCCATAAAACACAGAAAAACCTAGCATTAGATGACATAAATATTATATTTGAATTCCTGTGAATCTATTCTTTTCTAAGCTAATTTCAAGTTATACTCTCAAAAGGTTGTGAAGTTCAGCAAACAGAAAACAGGATACTTGTGTAGGTACATTCCGGATGAAAACTGCCACACTGGAGAGGAACAAAATGCCATAGTTCTTCCTGGAAGCTTTGGTCACTCAGAGGCATGGGGTCATGTACTGTGTAGATTTCTTAGAAACTGTATGGGCCTACATGATTGGTGCACTTCATAGAGCTTGGCCAAAACTTGATTTTCAAGCTCTCACTACAAACATAAAATCAAAGGATCACAGAATAGCCTGAGTTGTGAAGGATCATCAAAATCCAACTCCTGGCACTACTAGCTAGTGAAAAGCCTAAGGCCTAGTTTAAAGTTCATATGATACCCTTCACAGATTCAACTTAGCCCTAGACACAATGAAAACGTAGCTTGCATTCTTAGATAGAACAGATAGGATTATTCAGGTAAGCAGAAAATGCTCTATACATAGGATTTAGGTAAAACTGACACTGCTTTTGTGAATTAAGAATTAAGCTTGGATTGGTGTAGAAAAAATGTTTTAGAATCATGTTTTTAACTGATTGGATGATTTGCGAATTTAATGACCTGCACTGGGGATCACACACATGCAAACACACACACACCCAAAGAAGAACAGCAGCACCATCATCATCACCATCTGCTTCTGTGGCCAGGGATAACAGAACTCCACGCTGAAAGCTGCTGCCCAGAACATCGTGACTTTATACCAGAAAGCTGCTGCTCAGAATTCATGACTTTATACCAAAAGCTTTTAGCAAGGACTGTAACTTTCTGAACTCTCTGCTTTTGAGACTGATGCTTTTATACAATAAATATCGTTCTAGCAACCAACAACTGCTCATGTCTCTTTGAGACCTGAAAAACCCCTTGGATCCCCATTGAAGAGTCGACAAATAGTCAAGTCAAATTAGACAGAAAGAACTCTTAGACATTAGTCAGACCTAAACATAGTAAAACTTAACTATGCTTAATTCTATTAAGATACACTTATTATTAAGACACACTTATTTCTATTAATTACACATTACAGCCCCAAGAATTGCACCATGTCTCTGAGAGCGCTGTCCATACAATTCTTGGCTCTGTCAGGCTTGGTGCTGCGACCACTTCACTGTTCAGTGCCCAGCCATACCAGGATGAGGAACCTTTTCCTAATATACAGCCTAACTCCCCTGACACAACTTCAGATCATTCCCTCAGATCCTGTCACTGGTCACCAGAGAGGAGATTGGTGCCTGCTCTTGGGCTTCCCCTCATAAGGAAGACATAGATTGTGATGAGGTCTCCCCTTAGCATCCTCCAGGCTGAGTATGACAAGTGACCTCAGCCACTCCATGTATGGCTTTCCATTCAGACCATTCACCATCTTTGCAGCCTCCTCTGGACACTCTCTAATAGCTTCTTGTATTGTGGCACCCAAAACTGCCCCTCTCACTCGAGCTGAGGCTGCCCCAGAGCAGAGCAGAGCAGGACAATCCCCTCCCTTGCCCAGCTGTGGCTGATGCTGGCCCTGATGCCCCCCAGGACACGCTTGGCCCTCCTGGCTGCCAGGGCCAACTTGTCAACTTGTCATTCATTTTGGTCTACATTTTCCCATTTTAAATGAATACCTATAATAGTAGTCTACTTTACTAGCACTTATAAAATTAAATTAAAATATATATTTGGATTAATTTTCACTGATAATTGTGTGAGATTTTCTTCTGATACAGTTCTGTGCTTCTGTGTGTGTGCCTGTAAATGTACATGTAGATATATTTTGGCAGCAGAATGGGCCTGCTCCATGTCATTGTTGCATCAGTTGTATGAATACAGCAAATCTCACAAAGGCATGGCACATACCATTTACTGAAACAGTAGAAATTATTACACAGTCATTATCTAGAATTTGCATGCAAGTATGTTCAGTTTAAGTCATGTAGGTTATTTACAACAGTTACTCAAATTGCCATGCTGTTGTTTTCTGATAGCTAATGCTAAACATGCTGTCAATGCAACAAGGCACCAGTATTAATGTTTGCCACTGTAGCAACTAAATTATATAGTATTATACAAGTTCTGTGCAATTAGAAATTTTGTATTCACTGAGCTCCTATTCATATATATTCGAAATATGAGTTCCTCTTAATTTTACTGTAATTAGACTGATATTTCCCCTAGTACTTTTTGTATAACTAGGTATTCCCTGTTTTGAAATTTTTAATTGCTGTCAGGTTTCCATTTTAATAATTCTTTTAAGTAATTTTGGGTGGAAGAGACAAAAAATCCCACATATCATGTTTTTAAAAGCACTATTACCTAATATGTGCTGTGACTGAAACTGTAAGCTTCCACCCATGGAAATGGGGAAAATCTGGTAATATTATTTCTGAGAAAATTGACTATTTTTTAAAAGAATACTTCCTTGGAAAAGATTTTAATTTCATAAAACAAGTTCTAAATTGGAATCTTGGAATGTAGGAACTGTGTTTCCACGAAAGATTCCACAAACAAGTCAAAAAGCTACAGACAGGTCAAAAGGAGAGTGAAAAACAAAGTAGAAACATACTGACTCTGAGTCTGTGTATGTATTTTGGACATTCAAAATGGTCCGAGTACTTTTGCTTTGCTTTGTTTATAAACTAAACTCTCAAATCGAAGAATCTATGAGGCAATAGAGGGATTTCACTTTAAGTGGTGTTAAATAGATGAATGGAATTATCTAATGTTCAGCTGGACATTCCTTATTCAGAAAGAAATACATAGGATCTTTCTTTTAAGGAGTATGCAGAGTCCAGATTTTAATTTTGTGATTTGTCAAAATTCCTATCAAAGACACACTTATGGCACAGATTATCATGGATTAACAAAATTTAGTACATGGTCTGATGAATCGGTATTGACTATTACTAGATTATTATAGACTAAAATACTTAAACAAGATTACTAGAATAATCTGTTAGTTTTTTAGGACCATTATCATATACCTATACTCATGAATGTAAGATGCTTTTAAAGACCAAAGTGATTAACAGCATTTGAATTTTCAAAACTTATTTGCTAACATAACCACAACAGAATGCCAGTTCTGTTACACAATTACTCAGGGGACCTTTCTTAGAAACACAACACTCAACATGGAGTAGATGTGACTGCATGATTGACTGTATAATTATAAGTGTCTGCTTACAATGAATAGCATTACATTTTAAAAAAAAAATGCTCTTGTCTGTCTGAGCAGTTTTATGCCATACTCATCACATACTGAATGTATGTCTAGGTAAGAATATATGTTACACAGTGTAGAATAAACTGCTTATTTTTCTTAAAACAAACTTGGTCTCTTTAACTGCTGCCACTTCAGCCTAAAAATTGCATAACTTTACTCTTCAAGAACATAATTTAGAGCAGAAATATTAATTTAGAGCAGAAATATTAATCTGTAATCAAAATTTAGATCCAGAGGAAGGCAATTAGCCACTTTCTAATAGCATTAAAATACCCAACAAAAAAGTGTGTCAGATTTTCAGCAAAGAATCTTTAAATTCCTAAATGCTTGGAAGAATTTGTTTCAATTTTTAATTTCATGTGAGAAAAGGCAGTGAAGGTAGCAGATTTGTTCAGCAACACCAGCATCACACATCATGAACAATAAGAAGTAAACACATAAAAAGGAACTTTTTTTCAGTTATCAGGATTGTTTGTTTCAGCTGAGAAAGTGCAGCTGCACCTGACTGACAGCAATGGTGGTGTACTGAACTCAATGCATTATGAGCTTGGAA